TACAGTAGATTGCACGTGTTCAAACTGTGCTATGAGTAATGATAAGTCGTACATGCTATTGAGTTCAAACTAAGAATACAGGGTTAGAATCCTCAAAAAACGTAGCAAATCCATCAAAATATATATACAAAAGAGTATAGATTTCCATAAATGGCTTTTTATGCTTGTAGACTTTTGTTGTGCAAAATATAAGGTAGGCATTGTGATGGATTGATGTGAATTAACCATGACGAATGTAGCTAGAGGATTTGGTTGAAAGAGCATTCTAGGAAAACAAGTTGATATGCATATTAGTATTCCTCACAAAACTTGCCAAAAAAAATTAAGGTAGAGCCCAAAGACATAACTTATGGAACACGATGAAGTATCTTCCACAAGAGGAATTTATGTCGTGGAAGGATATTGGCTTTCCACAAGAGCTTCCACTTTAGAAATTGAGTTTTGTACCATAGAGAAGTAAAAAAAAAAAAATAGAGTAGAGTATAAATTGTATTAGTAGTAAATTGGAGTTATTGGTTTGTATTAAAATCCGTTGAATCCTCTAAGTAAGGATTGTCTAAAATGGATAACTTAAGAATTTCTTTAGCAATGGAATTGGGAAATTCCTTAAGGAGAAGGTGTTTATTCTAAATTCTTAAGCCTATGAGCATGAGATGGGTAATGCTTGTAAGGTTAAGAGGGTGAGGAGAAAGAGAGTCTAAAGGAGGGATTATAAACTTTTACTTGATGTATAACATTTTAGTTTAGGTAAATAGATAGGTACTAATTTGCAATTTAGCCATGGTAAGTGGTTTACTAGCCAATTTGAAAACACATGCACAACACTAATATATATATATATATATATATATATTATATGTATATAGACACGCACATGTATACAAAATTGATAATGTGTTAATTACCTATTTTTTAAAATAATGGTTTAAAATTTTCTTGACCACATTTTTAAATTCTAATTATGACACAGATATTTGCCATCCCTTTATTTTTGATAAAATCTTTTCCTAAATAATGGAGCATCAATCTAACTTTTTTATTACTTTTAAGTAAAGTTTTGACATAAATCACTTTCAATAATTTTTTTTTATAAAAATACTACCTATATTCTTGCTCAACAACTTTTACTTAGTTGGACTATATATATGTTTTCAATAAATGACTTATTTTTCTTAAGAATCCATATTTATTTAACGGCAAATTTTCAAAATATTACTCAGGTACATTGTATTCTATGAAACCATGACGCTATTGTGATATTATACTAGAACATGGCATATCTTATTCACATTTTAATATTATATTATAAAATTATTACTATTTTAAAGTCAACTTTATTAGTTACTTGATAATATATTTAAATTTATTGAAACATCTAATCTATCCCTCTATTACAAAATTACTATTTTATAATTCTTACTCTTTCTCCTCGATTTTTAATCTATTGTCTCTCTTATCTCTTTTCTTTCTTTCTCTCTTATCGTGAATGAAGGGTTCAGCTCAATAATATAATATCATTAATGCATATCTAAAATCCTTGGGGAGCTTTTTTTTCTCCTTGTATCAAGTTGTTAAAGCTTGTTGTTTAGCTGTGCTAAAGTGACATCTCTAGACTAGGTGATCTTACGCTAGTTTATATGCAACTTTATTTCCTTTATTAGTTCTTTTTTTATTTTATGTTTGTTTGACTACCTTATATTAACTTTTATCCACTTTGTTTTCATATTTAAATCTTCATTTCTTATTGTCAACTGGTTTTTAGATATAATCTATTTATATCTTTTTTGAAGTGTTTTCATTATTAAAGAAGAAGAATGAGAACTGTGTCCACTCCAAAAGGCTCGAAAAGACACAAAGAACAAACTCTTAAGGAGAATCTAGTGAAGGGTAAAAACAAAATAAGGGAGCAAAGTCCAACAAATCTTTAGAAGCTTTAAGTGAAAAGAGATTCTTAGAGGATGTAATCAATTTTTGGGGACTAATTTCAATAAAAGTGAGAGGGACATGCTGACATTTCAAGAATAAGAAGAAAAATGGTAAATTTGAGAACTATGAATTTCCTTCTTTTATATTTGAAGCTGTGGTTTTTCTTGACTAATAGACTAGGAAACAAAATAATGTGATCAACAAAGAGGAACATTAACACGAGAGTTTTTGCATTTTGTAAAGAATAAAAGAGTTTTTTATTTTATCTTAAAAGTTCTTTGATTTATAAATCATGAAAGAAAGAATACAAGGAGTTAAAAAAAAAAAAATTTGTGGTAGCTAGGCAAGATCTCTTATTCCCTTATATATTGTTTTAACTTTGCTCTTGTATTTATGCTTGAAAATATAATGTGGTTTGGTGTACCTTTTTCTAAGCTTTTAAAACTTAGAGATTAACGTGCAATGTGATGAAAATTTTGCTTTTTGTTGAAGCGAAAAATAATATTGAATATGATTATAATGTCACGCGTGAATTTGTTAGCCAACTGAGAAAATATGCACATCAAACATAAATATACAAATATTTAAATACACATTTATATATAGACGTCAATGTATTTTAATAGTGTGAACTATGGTAACTTATTATCTAATTTTATTAATTAAAAATAAAATTGATCATATGTTTAAATATATATAATTATTATTTTTAAATAATTAGTTAAATTTGTTGACTATAAGTTTGAATTCTGATTATAAAACATATATATATATATATATTTGTCACAAATTGGTTTTTGATTGAATTCTATCCTAAATTAAAGCTGTATTGATTTAACTATTAACTAGGATTTTATACGTATATTAGCCATAATGATGATGATCTCAGTAGTGTCCCTATATAAAATATTTATTATATTTCTCGTAAGCTCAACCTTTACTTGATTGGGTTATATATATATATATATATACACACACATATATATGTTCTAATACTTTTATTTTTGAAAATAAGTATTTATTGTAGGGTAATTTACTAAAACATTACTCATATATGTAGTATTTAATAAAAATATGAGTCCATTTATCTTATTAACATTTTAAAAATATTGGAGGAGGATATGAGAGAAGAAGAAGAAGGAAAAAAAGAATTGTCATCGGTCTTCAGGATGAGGGAGGAAGAGAGAGTGTTGAAACTTCTAGAATAAAGGAGGAAGGATGAAATTCCGCTTCTTATGAAATAGAAGCGTACATTCTTAAAATTATATTTTTAATTTCAGTTTGCAAAAAAAATTCCAATTACATCCGACAATATTAATCATAAAATTAGTTAATATTAGTACAATTAACTAATTTTAATCCTTCTCATTCCTTTTATTTAACACTCATTACCCGGTTCAGTGATTAATGATTGATTTCACAACAAAAAAAAAAAAAAGATTAGGTGTGTCATTTACTTAATTACCCAAATAAAACCTATCACCGGCTGACATTTTATAATTTATCATATGTTATGGAAATCTTTTGTTACTTATAATTTTCAACTCTCACTCTTTTAAGTAATTTATAAATTTTTTTACCCTTAAAAACCCAATAAATATATTTTTAAATTCTTTGTAATTTTTTTTTTTTTTTTTGTGTCTGTCTCTCTGTCTTGGACGTAGCATAGATACAAGAAGAGAAGAGAGTGAGGCCGACAGGTTGGAGGTGAAGTGGGCCACCTCAAGGTGGTTAATGGGCCTGGAAACATAGGCCCACTTTAACAAACATATAATATATATATATATATATATATAACACTGTTGAATTTCATTTATTGAGAAATTAATACCAATTTTACTCTACATTCTAAAAATTGTATGATACTTCTAGTTTGAAATTTCATTCTGATCATAGGATATAATTAAAAATACCATGCCAGTTTGCGGTGTTAGAAGACATGATTAATAATTTCCATAGACAATGACATTGATGATTCTTGATTTTTCATTATTATACTCAATAGTACCAAAAAAAAAATTAAGGACTTAAATGAGAATACTAAATTCTTAATCTATATAAATACTCTAATTGGCAAGTCACATAACAAAAATCCATAACAGACCTAACAAAACATATTTATATCAAAATTCATTCTTATAAATTTAATGTGCAGTAACAATTTCATTAGAGCAGGTAAAACATGATTTTTATTGCAGGCCACATGTTGCAAAAAAAAAAAAAAAAAAAAAAAAAAAGGGTAAATTTTGTATCATCATATATATATATATATATATATGTCTATACTTGGAACTCTCTCTATTGCTCTTGACTTATATAACAAACCTGAAAATCATTAAATAGTGAGGAATAATGCTTTTAACAATCTTGAACAAAATGGTATATAGAAGGAACATTTAAAATTACAATGTCAAATTTAAATATTACTTAATAATTTAAAAATTTAAGTCCAAAATGTTATCTATAGAATATATGTTTTATTTTAATTAAATTACACATATACATTAATAATAACATAATATTTTTATGAAAACCCACGTAATATAATTTTTTAATATAATAAATACACAAAGTACATATATCCTCATACTAAAATAACAATCATCCAACTTATGAATAATTACTATGACATCCATGATAAGTAAAATTCTTGAGTAAAAATTAATACTCATAACAGGACAGGTTGAGAAGGATGAATTAACAAAATGCATAAAAGAAATAAGATTTATGAGAATTATTATTGGGCCTATTCGTCCATGGACTTCAGGAATCCCACTGAACTTTTACCCGAATTACAATGCACCGATTGTGACAAAACTTCCTCCAACTTGTGTTTTCTGAAACTTTACAACTTGGTTTCTTTTTTCTTTTCTTTTTTTTTTTTTTTCCAAACAATGGCGATCGTGATCGATTTAAAGATACCGGCGACGGTTTTTCAAGTTTGGATCCGCTTCAGGCCGTAATTTCCTCTGCTCCACCTACCAACGATTACCATCAAAATCAGCCCTCAGCTACTCTCTTTAATGAATCGGTATTCTATGACTGTACCTCATTTTTTGAATTCCTTCCAGCTTTACTGACTCTTATACTTGGACCATTTTCTCAAAATTGCTGAATTGCGATAGAGAATGTTGTTTTCTTGCTTGTATTTTCCCTCTTAATATTTATTTATTTTTTTTGTTAATGACTTCTTTTTTCCCCTTTTTCCTTATTGTAACGCTTTGTCAGTGTCAATGAAGGTTCCAGCTTTAACCTCATGAATGCTAATTGTGTTTCTTTTATCAGCTTGAACAGAGAGGCCACTTAGATTAATTGCTGAAAGATTCAGTTGCTGCGCCAGACTGTGAATTCGTACCACTGGAATCAGATGGGATCTAGAGATGAGGTCGTGGAAATTGATAGCTTGGAGAGAGGTTTGTTATCGTCTGGTGCTTCTCAAGAAGAGAACGGAACCGAAAACGAGGCAGTTCTTTACGCGGCATCTTTTCAGGATATGGAAGAAAATTTTGTCAAGTATCAAACAGCTCAATGGGTTTTATACTCGCTGCTTCTAATGCTGGCTTGGGGAATTGGGTTGTTCATGTTGTTATATCTGCCAGTGCGGAGATATATACTCCGCAAAGACATTCGTTCAAGGAAGCTCTATCTTACTCAACATGCCATTGTCTATAAAGTAAATCAGCAATCTCCTCTTCAAATTTTATCTGCTTTTTTATGATTGTTTCATCAATTGCTTTTACTATATAAATATGCGTACTTATATGTGCCTTGTTATTTATGGTTGTCTGCATTTCTTAACCATTTTAATGCTATTTTCTGAAGTAACTAAAACTTTCAAGGTTTTGTTTTTGAGAAGAGGGAGAGAAGGGGAGGCGGGGAATGGAATGGGGTTCTCTAGGCAAATAATTAGTTGGGGAGAGTGGATGAGCTGAGTAACTTATTAGGATAGCCTGAGTCTGAGTTAGGTATATGAAAACATTTGTAGCTTTCATTTCTATCCTTGTATAAATGTGTCTATATACAAATATTTGAGTGTATATGATGTAAGCATCTATGTTTATAGGGAAATTTATGTATGCATTAATTTGTATATATATGTATATATGCATGTAACTATGTATTTGTGCATATATGCATTATGTATCACTTTGTATGTATGTCTTTATGTATGTATGTCTATATGTATATCTTATCCATCTGTATAAACAGAAACTGTAAAATTATAAGTATATTATGTATGCATGTGTATATATATCACAATATAAACATAAATATAAAACAAATTTCTAGAAAATGCTGCAAATAAATTTTTTTATTTCCAAAATAATATTTTATTTCTAAAAATATTTTAGATTCAACTAGCACAGGTGTTTGTTCTACTATTTTTTGTTTTTATGTACATATGTGCTTTCTTACATACATATGTAAATAGAAGATGAAAATTAAAAGAAATATATTTTTCATTAACTGGATGGAACCTAATTTACCTTGGTTCTATTTTTCACCTCTTCCTCCCCCCCCCCTCCAATATCTATCTGAAAAGGGTTACCATCTTGTTGTTGGTCTAACAAATTGCAAATTACTAGACTATTACAGCTGATGTTATATTCCCTTTAGCAATGGAACATTGTAAGATTACGCTTTTGATGTTGTATTGGGTTTATATAAGGTGACTGTATTTGTTAATACTTTGTTACTTTAGCTCAGGTCACCAGGCCAGTGCCATTTCCTTGTTTTGGGGTATTAAAAAAAGAGAAGCACATTGTGTTGCCCTCTGTTGCTGATGTTGTAATTGAACAAGGTAAAGCTTTACTACTCTCTCACATCCTCCCACCCCTTTTTCTCCCCATTTTCATTTGCCAATAGTGCAAAACTTTGTGAGGAGAATTCATGAGCAGTGTTATGGGCCAAAATAAAGCAGATATTAATAATATACTTAGCAGCTGAGAGTCTCTCCATTCGAAGAGTTGAATTTATGAGATTTACAGTGGCAGCAAGAGAAAGAAATACTAGATAGCGTCATACTGGTGGATATCATCTTACATTAATTTGTTTTTCTTTATCTGTTGAATTGTTACTTTTCTTATATGTTGGATTTGATTACTTCCGTTATGAGAAGTTACCTACTTTCAGGCTAAATTTGCGGCTCATATCGTATTCCAAAAAAATGTATAGTTATAGGCAGTTCCATAAGGAAAATTAAGCAACACTGTCTTAACCCTTATCTCTTTGCCAAAAAGATCATTAGGTTCTTTCTTACCAAGTTGTCAACCTATTGATTATAGGTGATAAAGGAAGGGATTTGAGGTAACGCTAAAAGCTTAGGTTGTGCTTTTCCAGTCAGCAAACCCATAAGTAGATGCTATTTTTGGAACCATAATATATATATTACTTCAAGTTTCTTTGTCATCGATATGGAATAGTGTTGATGCAGATCCTCTTGGGATTTTGCAAACTAATAAGTTGTCTGTAATGATTTTATGTAAGTAAATTTAGGATGACTGAAACATCATGGAAGGCATTCTGCATCTTCTGGTCTGAAGTTGTCAGAGACTTTAATTGATTTCCAGTAAAATAAGAGATATAAGTATTGAAGGCATGAACCTTCTCCAGTCACATACTAGCTCTTCTTCTTTGAAAATCTTCAGTAATTGGTGAAAGGGTTTGGTCTTGAACACTGATTTAGAATTGATGCTTGAGTGTTTATTCTTAGGTTGTGTTGTTACTCAGCATGCAATGTTTGAAAACCTTGTCTTTAGGATATTTGCAGTCTCTTTTTGGTGTCTACTCTCTGAGGATTGAGAATCTTGGTGTAAGAAAGCGACCAAGTGATGATGTCCTAATCCAAGGCGTCACAGATCCAAGTGCTTTCAGGAAGGTAGATCTCATTGCCAAGAGGCATTTGTCATTTCTATAAATTGCATAAAGAAAGATGTCCAACTTTTGCAAAACCTATATTCAATTTAGGCTGTTGTAACACAACTTTCAAGTATGAGGACCGAAGCTTTCTCTAGGCAAATTTCCACAATTCAGGAATCTCCAAATTTGAGGGTGAGTCAATCACCAGCTGCCTGGGTGTATGTCAGCTTTTTTTTTTTATTTGTCCTGTCTTGCATCTGAATCAATCTGTTACTTGATGAATCCAACCAATTTATATGAAGGATCTGTGGCTAAGTTACATATGTTATCATTTTCATGATTCTCTTCTCAAGTGTTTTCAGTTTCTTTTTAAATTTTTTTTTTTTAACAAGGCATATAAGCATTTATTCATGGAGCCCAGTGATATATTCTCATGGATTATATATTTTTTTTCAAACCATCATGTGATTAATATTAAGTTTTGCATGTAATGGATCTTCTCTCTTTCTTAAGGTTCCTGCTTTCTTTTTTTTAATCATCCCCTATTTGGATTTAAGAATTTCATCTCTTTCTTGTCTTCATGCAGATGTCTCCGTCAAAATCTACGAGGCATGATTGTCTTGGTCATTCAGGGGATCTATTGCTGCTACAAAAGCTAGAAGAGGTTGGAAGTTCTGTGAAGGTAATGCTGTTTAGATATTCCGCTTTTGTTTGTTCTTTGGGTTTCTTTAATCAATAGATGTCTACCTCTTGTTTATGCAGAAAGTCCAGACTTTAATTGAGGAACAAATTTGTCAGACATCAGAATCCTAAATCTGAGGTATGTGGACGAACTAATTGGTGAAATGCTGATTTCATTTATGGTGTCTTCCTTCTTTAGTATTTCTTTTTCTGGCAATTGAGAATAATCTTGAATGTCCGAGCATTGCAGTGTCATTTCAAAATGCTTCACTGCATGGAATATCCTAATTTTCAATTCCCCCTGCCCCCTCTTTTTTCTCTTCTTCTTTTTCTGGCTAATTAGAAGTCTTTAGTGTCTCAGTTAATAGTTAGGCAGTTCACTATTGTCATGCCTTACATTACATTGAACGAAATGTTTCTGTATCCATCTGACCTGTGTTTGAAATAAAAACAAAGCATATTCACTGCCCTAGGTCTTGCTGTTGATGCTTAATGTATAAACAACAGTTAAGCTGGAAATTGAGCATGCCTGACAGCTTTAGCAAACTGAAGTTCATAAACAGGGGCTAGCTCCTTGGATTGAACAGTGGCTAAGGTAATGTTTGACAGAAGCAATCATCTTAAGCCCTTCAGCTTCCTTTCCTTCTTCCCCTTTCTAAACTAGGCGACCTGAGGAATGAAGGCTGATGATAAAGCTGTTTGATTGATTTGGACCCAGGACTGAAGTTCAGCAGTACTTTGCCTCAAACTGGATGTCATTTGACTAGTGCCCTATGGAACAATCCTACATAGCAATCATATAAATTAGCTAATTCTGAACTTTCCAAAAACTTGCCCTATGGAACCATTCTACATAGGAATCGTATGAATTAGCTAATGCTGAACTTTCCCCAAAGCTTTCCAGATTTGTTTGTAAGCCTGCTAGGGACATTTTGATATTATTATTCTGCTCTGCAGTTAGAGTTTATTTTCAATTAAAAAAGAAAAAAAGATCTCCATAATGCTTTCAGTGAGTAAGAAATTGCTAAACCGTAAAATCTATATACCACAATCTCGTTCAAGTCTGTGATGTTTAGTCGAATACAGCTAATTTATTATATTTTTTTTTTCAGAAAATTACTTAAATTTCGCGACTGAATCCTTATAAATACCGAAGGTTTTCTTTACACTATATGGAAGTTGCATTATTTTTCTCAACATGGTAGCAAAGCTTGGTTGGTGTAAGAAAAAAAAATTTGGACTCCGGTTGCTGCAAAACTATAGGAGAGAGAAAATTTAGCTACCACCTCTGTAGCTTTTTTCTAGCACATCAGTCCAGGTAGTGTCATCAGCATCCAAAGAGCTTTCTGATAATGGTCCTGTCACCATTCAACTTTTTATAAGTTGCCAGTCACCTGCGCATGAAGCTCTGGTTTGATCTGATTTCTTTACAGTGATTGATTCTGGCCCCATTTTGATAATCATTAGGTATTTTAGCAAATTATATGGAGAATACCTTCACAATATTTATGGTTGAGGGAGGTTTCTGGTGATCTCATTTTGATGACTTTTGGTCATATCAGTGTCATTGAACTGGTCTTCTGTATACTCTTTTTGGATAGCAGCAGGGATTCGAAGATACTTTCATTACGTCAAGCACTGACATTCTCAAATAACTACCCGGCGTTTGAATGGAAATAGCTACGTGCAATGGGCTAAATCAATTGTGCCTTGATTGTTTGAGGGCATGGGGTGGCAGTGGGGGAGGACATAGTCATTGTGGAAAAGATGGTCTTACACATGATAATTGTTATGATTGGTTGGTATACCACCTCGAATTAAGTGTGCATGTTCAATTAAAAAATTTTGAAAAAAAAACTGAGCCAACCATGATAACTAATTGAAACCACTGAACTATTTGTATTAACCAAAACGAACCGTTGGTTCAGTTATCGACCAAATTATATGAATGTTATATACATTATAATAATATATTATAAATATTTCATAATTTATATTATATAAATATTATATACTGTAATGTTATTAAAAAAATTAATTCGATTAAATCCATTGGTTCGGCTCCATAAATTTGGAACTGATAACCAGTATTTACAATTTTAATTGAAAACTGAACCAAACTGGTTTAGCAGACTAACTGAACTGATTTGCCTAAATTGGTTCTATTTGATTTTTGCACACCTCTACCACCTCAAGGCTTGACTTCCACGGTGAGTGAAACTAATATTATACTGGTTTCTAAGAATGAGTTCTCCAAATTCCTTCAGTATTAGGTGTCACAACAAGCTTCCACTTTTGTTGCTCTCTTGCTCAACATACTGCTTGCCTCTCTTTTATTCCTACCTCGTGCGTCATAGGTTATGCTGCCATAAACTGTATATATCTGGTAAATGCAGTTCTTTTGTTCATTGTCAAGTAATTCTATCATCCCTTACAGTTACTTCAGCAAATTGTTATTTCAAAAAAAAAAAAAAAAAACAGTTACTTAAGCAAATGAGAGTTGAGTTCCTATTAGTGGTGTAGGACTTATATGCCCTCCATTATCTCTTACCTTATCCTCTGGGTTTTACATTTCCAATTCTTTGTTTGATTTGGTTGGTTACTCTTGTTAACAAAGTACCTAAATTGCTGATGCAGAATCTAAGATCAATCAATAAAAATCCCAACATACAACTTAACATCAAAACTTAATCCCTAAACAAATCCTCCTACTTAACTCATAATCAATATGTGATTACATATTAAGGTAATTGGGGAAAAAAATAAGAATTGATATAACGTCACGAGATTATCTCAATTAGTAGAACTAGTTCTCCATTTAACAAGATGGTTGAAGAACACTCTCAAAGAGCACTCACAAATAGCCCAAAGCTAAAGTTTGAAAAAAAAAATTGAAATTTTATTGATTTGACTTGATGTATTGACAACCTAGGTAATAAGGCCTTTATATAAACATAAATTTCAATAATCCGAGTAGAAATTGAAAACTAAATCCGAAGAAAACTCTAAATACAATCTTATGTAGGATTATAATTAAAAATTAATTTAAAGACTCATAAACAAAAATAGATTAAATCTCTTCTCTCTTGAATAGTGTAGGATTCCTTTGGGGGTTGTGCTTGCCTTTTTCTTGATCAGATTGGGACTTTATTATTTAACGAATTTTTGATGTAGACTTGGTGTTGAATATGAATAAAATTCCAGTCATGTTTGAGTAGAAAAACAACTCTTTTTTCTTGTGGGAATTAGCCATGAAGGGGAATCTTTATCCCTTTGAACTTTCACACTTCAAACATCATTTCAACTCCTTTAAAAATATTAATTTATGAAGAGGAAACAGATTAGAACTCTTGCAAGATCGACTTCAAATTACTTGAGGAAACTTAGATACAAATACTACTTGAAGTAGGACTATAAAACCGATTTCTAACATGAGATGAAGACAAGTGTAATCATGGCCAAGACTTGTAATAATAGGATTTTTCCTTTCTTATCTTGATAAGAACTCTAAATTGATGAATGCTCTTGGTTTTGATGATGTAAATCTCTTGAAACCCGACCATGCTTGATATGATAAGGATTCTTGAATTCTTAAGAGATTTACTTGAAGTTGAAAACCATTTATGAGGAGAGTTATGAATAATCAATGTCCAAAATCTTTAGAACTCTTATTATTCATATGATCAATGTGCCTTAGAAGAGATAAGTGTCCAGTTATAACTCTCCCAAAAAGAGTAGATAACTCTATCATGTGAAATACTTGAGACTCCATGATTCGAAGGATCTTTTTGGCTGTTTACTCGTAATTATCTTGGTCATGGGATTTTAGTATGAGTTTGTGCCCCCTTTTTTGCTCGTATCAATTATCATTGGCCTTTACGCCAATTAGAGAAAAAAATTACTTTTTGTCTATTTACTTGTAATTATCTTGGTCATGGGATCTTAGTATGAGTTTGACCCCCTCCTCCCCACCCCTCCTCTTTTTGCTTGCATCAATTACCATTGGCCTTTACACCAATTGGAGAAAAGATTACTTTATTACATCATGATTTAGAGGAAACCGTTTAGATTGAGCAACCTTCAGGATGCATTGCTCAGGTCAAATTGGTTATTTGATTGAAGAAGTCTTTGTACGGGTTAAATAGTCTCCTAGAGCTTGGTTTGGAAAGTTCAGTTAGATTGTTATAGAGTTTGATTTTTACCATGCTAGAGCTGAACATTCTGTTTTCTGTCATCACTCTATAACTAGAAATTTGTCACTCACTGTGTATGCTGATAATATTATTATCATAGGTAATGGTAGTAAAGGAATTCAAAGGGTGAAACTTCTCATTTTGGTTTCAGACTAAATATCTGGAGCCCTTGCACTATCTTTTGGGTATTGAGGTAGCCATATAAAAATTAAAAATTTGTTTATTGCAAAGAAGGTATGTTCTTGAGCATTTAAATGAGACAGGAATATTAGTATTTAAACTAGTTGATTTTTCTATTTTATCTTGATACTAATCTGGCTATAAATGGAGGTGAACTACTAGAGAATATTGGTGTTGGAGGTTTGTTGCAAAAATGAGTTAGTATCAAGTAACCCATAGTTTACTATAGGAGGAAGGGTAAAAAGGGAGAAACACATGCAGAAGACCAAAAGAGTCACTATGAGACATTAGGTTTATGGTTTGACAACATTAAATCCTAAATCAGAAGAGATCCCACAATCGCCATTGCCAAATCGGGAAGAGGTCATCACCGCATCGAATTCGGACAATCCTACCCACTTCGCCGATCATCTCTATCATACCATCTATAAATAATATATTCTCCTATACAATGTAATCATTGATTCGATAATAAATTATCCTTTCAATCTTCTTCTCCTCTGTCGACTCTTCTTTCTCTCCCTTTTTTTCTTCTTCTTCAATCCCAAATTAGTACCATGATCAAGGTATCTGACAAGTTGGTATGAGAGTAGGAGCTGGCCTAATTCTTTGCTGGAGTCGCCATCCACACTTGGTTGAAAGGGAAGGCAATAGCGACGGACGCCGAGAAACCCGATATCACTGAACTCTTAGTGAAAGAGGTAGATAAGAAGTTTACCTCTTTCATGGAAGACGTCTATGAGATGAATAGAGGAAACCATCAGTG